ACTAAGAGACAGAACTAAGAGAGAGAAAGCAGGGCCGGGACAACCAGTGCCATTGCAACCAACAAAGGTGCTGCACAATCCCAGGCACTGACTTTCATTGGCAATCATTTGGGGTAAAGGCGATGTGTGGTTTCTATGGAAATTAATGTAAACAGGGCTCATAAAGGACAAGACAAGGCATTCTCAAATTAGGAACAGAATAGACAAAACACATGGCTGTAATTAGAACATTGTTCTTCTAGGGTGAAGGCTTTAGTTGTGGGAAGGGAATCTGTGTGTGAGTTGCTCTGACCTTGGCCCAGAGGCTTCGGCCAGACTCGCGTCTACAAACAAGAGACTGAGGGGCTCACTCTTCACAGCTGCATTAGGCATCTCAGTATTACTGTCCTCTGCATATAACTTTCCTCCCAATACAAAAATCTAAGTCTGGCAAGTTTTATTGTACAGTATTTTCATTGTCATTTGGATCTTAATAGCATCTAATTTTCACTATGTTTTCTTGCTAGCCCAAGGATCATTTAGTGTTTTGCTGTTGTTGTTTTTGGTTTTTACTTTCCAGATTATTTTGAATTTCTGTGTTGTGTGGTGTTGAGGAGTTGCTTGGAGAAATGAGTTCATAATTTTATTCCCTTTGTTCCACTAGTTTTCCGTACATGATATTCATTCAGTGAAATGTTTTGAGATTTGTTTTGTGGCTTAACGTAGTCAAGTTTTATAACTGTTGTATGCATGATTTGATTGAAAATGTTTTTTAAAGACCTGAATGCAGGAGTCTATTTGTGCCTATGATCGTGTAAATTGTGTGGGTCAACTATTTCATAATTTTAAATTTTTTGTTTGCTTCCTTCGTTACTGAGATACATAAAATCTATTACTCAGTTTATCGACTTTCCTTCGCAACTCGTGTGAGCTATATGTGTTTGAGATTCTGCTGTTGAGAACATGAGCCCACCGCTTTTTTCTAGTTATTGACTGATTAGCTGAGGGATGGGGACTGAACCCAGGGCCTTCATGCAGACTACATCGCCAGCCCTTTTTACTTTTTATTTTGGAACAGGATCTCAATAAGTCATGAAGATGCCATCTGGGCTCGACCCCGAGTGCTGGGTCACAGGCGTGCACCCTTACACAGGGTTCATTGAATCCTCACATATGGACTTTTTTTTATCACTAATAGTGATTTTTACTTTAAATCCCATTTTTCTAACATTGCATTGGGTTCCTTTTCCTGCATTTGCCTGCGATTTCCTTGTCCAGTTCTTTATTTTCAATCTTTGTGTGTAAATGTTAGGAATCCTGGGTAAATGGGATATATTAGGATCTATCCCCATGGAGAAATTTTCTCTAACCTGGTACGTTTGGTTCACTACTTATTGTCAATGCTGACGTGTTTGGGTATGAATTCCCTAACTTCACATTTTCTATTTCCCACACTTTGGCTGTTTTACTTTTTTGCTTTCTTTCCATTGGGTTGATACATTCTATTTGTTTTCACACCCTCCTGATTGGGAAGTTACACATTTTTCTTGAAGTCTTCAGCCCGCTTCCTTGCACATGGGACATCAGCACTGCTCTGTGACTGTCTGAAATGTGGGTTTCTCTCTTCAGCCCTCAACCCACCAGGTTCTCACTATGAATCCTGCTGCTTTCCAGGCCCTGCAGTTCACTTAGATTTGCTGATCTTCGTTCTGTCTTTCTACTTCTTTTGTAAAGCCCAATGAACTTGCCCCTGCAGTATTTCCAAGCAGCATCCCTGTGGCCTTGGAATTGTTGTGGAAGAACCTGTCCTGAGCAACTTGCTGTCTATTTTAGGTAATTTCAGTGCTTTGTCTTCAGGATGATGAGGTTTCCCTCAGATGTGTTTTAGCATCCAGTTATTTCCCTTTTAATACTCTTTGAAGCTTATTTGGATTTTGGAATCTAAATTTTTATATTTCTGGTATATTTTAGGAAATTTTCTGCCATAAATTTTTAATGCTCTATTTTTTAAAACAATCCCAAGCTCCCCAGTAAGTAGTGTTTGTGGTACCTGAAACTGTTTTCACGAACTCTACTTGAGAGGAAACAGGCTGCGTGTCCCCTTCTAAGAACCCTTCCATGTTTCCTGAACATGATTTTCTCCATCCACAGGGGAAGTGTGCCCTGGTTCGTCCCTGTGCATCCAGGGCAGGGTGACAAGACGTGGTGCCTGCTGTGGGCACGTGGATTGTCCCGCTCACCCACGCCCCAGGCCATGTCCTCAGAGCCCTTCTGTTCCAGAGCTGTTGTGTGCCTAGCTTCTGGATTTGCAGTCGCCTGTGTGAATGGATGGTTTCTTTGTGTTTTGCAATACTGGTTTCAGTGACCAGATGATCACAGGGAGCCCTCAAGCAGCCCTGTCCTGTTACCTTGGCATTTGCTCCACTCCCCAGAAGTTCCTGGTATACAGTGTGTCTGCCTGCTCCTGTGCTTTCGCTGTGCCACACCTAGAATGAATGGGCACTGTTACTATTACTGTTGTTATTGTTGTTACAAGTCTAATATGATGCCGTCCTTTTGCAGCAAGTTCTAGACTGCTCTGTCACCATCAGCCCCTTGGTGCTGCTCCCTTTGCTTATTCATGTTTTGTTATTCTCTGGAATGTTGCGTAGTTTTAGGTTGTGAGTCTGTTTACCACTGGGATACTTGTCTCCATAGAAATCCTGTCCATCCTTGGTTATTGGAACGTCTTCCAGAATGTTTCCAAAAAGAAACAAACAAAATCAACCCTAGTGTAGGATAATTGACCCACAGAATTCTTGTGTGCATGCATGCCTTATTTAAGGTAACATTTGGTACGTTCTGAAATACATGTTATGAATCTATCACTGCAGTCCAAATAATGAAGTCATTTCCTCCATGAAAGTTTCCTCTTTCCCCTTGGAAGCTCACTCCATCCTGTTCCTTCCTCCTGTCCCCTGCTTTCTGATACTCAGGACTAATTTGAATTTTCGGGAATTTTGTACACAGAGAACCATTCAGTAATACTTTTTAATGCTTCATGCAACAAAATTATTTTTGTGCTTATGCTGTGTCAATCATGAGGTCCTTCCTCTTTATTTTGAAATAGCATCCCCTTGTGTTGATATGCTAAAATGTGCTTACCAATGCACCTGTGAACTGACATGTGGCTTTTTAGCTTGGGACTATTATAAATGAAGTCACATGTGTGACAGACTTGTACACATGTCCTCTTCCCCCTGGGATAAGACCTAGGTGTGGACTGACCTGGTCATATGGTTTTGTAAGAAACTGCCGAACTCCCTTCCATTGTGCATTCCCACTATTGACGCACAAGGGCCATTTATCTATGTCCTTTAACCTTTGTCATGGCTTGTTTTGCAACGTCAGCTGTTCTAAGAGACAATGGTGTTTTGCACACCTTGCAGTACTGTCACTGATATGAGAACAGGGACACTGATTTTCCACAGGACCTTTTGCAGCAGTGTCTGTAATGATGTATTTTTAAACCACACCCATTTGTGCTTCAGAGGTGGCACATTTTTCTTTGGATTTGGAAGTAAACTTCCTTGTCTTCTTGGGCCAGTGGTGCAGTTTTTCTGGTTCTCCCTTCATCGAGCAAAGTGGCCTCTAACAGGTGTAGTTAACATTGGAATTCCAGGCCCGGCTGGAGGGCCTCTTAGCTGTTTCCACATTCCTCTCCCTGTTTACTCCTGGTGATTTCCCAGGCTCCCTTGCTGGCCTGATCATGAAAGGTGTTATATCCTCCCTGTGTTTAGAGCAGAAGCCCATGTTCAGGTTGTAGTGTTACAACTTTCTGGATCCCTCAGTATAATGAATATGTGAAGTCACAGTATACAAAATCACTGTGCTCAGAGCATTTCTGTGGACACTTGGTTTCACTGTGCTTGGCTGTAGCAGAAAGAACATCACCAGTGTATTATGGACTACACAGACGTGGGCCTTGCCTAGGAAGCGAGCAAGGAAGAGTAATGCAACCAGTATGCAGATTACATACTTCCCTTGTGGAACCTGTTTATGACCTTAATGCACACCCATGTTCACAAATTTGTTTGAGTTTACATATATATATATATGTATATGTATACACATGTACATACATATATGTATATATATATCCTTAAACATTATGAATAACATGCTCTGCAATTAAGAACATTTCTCACTGGAATACTCTTTCAGTGATTTAGTACCAGAAGGCAAATTTTCTTTCTGTTGACTTCCTCAAAGCAAAGGTGGAAATTACGCTTGGTATCTTCTTCTTCTGTTTTTGACATTTCAATGGGATAAATGTATACTACTAAATTACATCTCAGAATTACTTGTATTTCGGGAAAGAATACCTATTTGGGAGAACATTTAACTTGGTATCCCATACATCCTTGGGGGGGAACATATTTTGGTACCGAGGCAACTGTTTCTTTGACAACTAGGTATTTATTTCAACCCTTGCAACTAACACAAAAAGACAGTGGTTCATTAAGATTACTGTGGAGGAACATACTAAATGCAAAAATGGGCCAAGTAAAAATTGTTATAAAAACAGTATGGTTGGAACATATAGTTAGCAGAAACTGCGATCATCCTTCATCTGTGTGAAGACTGGAAACACCATTTTATGGAAGACTTTCTTGTCACTAGCAAACTTCAGGTATCTGTTACCTAGCTGAGCACCCCCCTGGAAGAGATGTCTGCATAGCTGTTTGCACACCCTAATGGTGTGGACAGTTTCTTTCTAAGAGGCCGAGCTGGCTGTGGGGTAGGTTGGAAACAAACCATGTCAAGTGGGTCACGGGGTGAGAAGAGTTCCATTGCCTTCTGATCCTCATCACCGATGACCTAAAGGAAAGGCCACTTTCTGGCCATAGATGCCCTGGGCTCTGTCACTTCAGTGTCTAATAGCTACCTTGACCTCTAATTGATGGTGACACAGACACATTGTTAATTAAAGCGTGTATCATCCTAAATCCACCTGTAATGTGATCGGTTCCATACACCTCTCCTCTATGTATCCAGGACTCTGGCGGCATGAAGACCTCCCTTCAGGCGGTGGCACTGTGGGGAAAGAAGGCCCCTCCACACAGCATCTCTGCCATCATGATCACCGACGACCAGCAGACCATTGTGACCGGAAGCCAGGAGGGTCAACTCTGCCTCTGGAACCTCTCATCTGAGCTGCAGGTGGGTGAAGTGGACAGCATCATACCTATGCACAGCTGGCTGCTTCCACAAGCATGCATGGCCGAATTAAAGAGAGGCTTGCTCGAGTGGTACCTCAGTTTCACCTGTGAATTTAGAGAAAATAAAGTATTAAACAGTAGGTAAAGATATTTCAATAATATATTATGAATATTGCTAATCTTAGCTATCAGCTAAGTATCATCACCCGTTAAGCTATGCCGAGTCTTACTATTTTATATTCTGAATTATCCATTTAAGTAACTGAACTACAGACATGTAAGTATAATTCTGAGCATTATGGGTCATTAATCTAAACACAGGGCCTCCCTGAACGCTGTAATGAACCGAACGAGTAATATCTTAATTGTCTGGCTGCTTCCACTATTCTTTGTCTCTGCTTCCCTGAGATTTTTTACGGACCCCATCAAACTGCTCTAAATCCAATTTACTGTTGTCCTATCCTACTTCAGAAACCTGGCCTCACCTAGGATTTGGCCCATCGATTAGCAATTAATTGTCTCTGTCCCAAGTCATAAACATTTAACATATTGGAATAGATATTTGCTTGACTCTAACCAGCTCTAGATCCAATTTGGACATTTAAACTAACGATGTGCTTAAAGTATACTCCCCTCATTAAGAAGCCTTTTAAAGATCATAGACTATTTTTAGCCTTTAAAGTCTGTCACTTTAAAACCTAAATTCACAATTAATTGTAATTCTATTTTATGGTGCAATTAATTAACGTCTCCCATCCTGGGTCAGGTCTGCTCCAGGACTGGAGAACCATCCAGTGTGGCTCAGGCAGTGTTGGTGGCACCTTGACAGAGAAATGCACTCACTTTGGTAGCAGTTGTGCTCTGACCTCAGTGGCCCACAGGGGTCTGGAAATGTACATTTCCTGCTGTACTTTAAACCCAGACCCCTAATGGCTTCAGATGCCTTGCTGATCTCTTACGGCTGGGGTGGTTCCCTCGCAATGCATGGGATCCTGTGTCTCCATCCATCCTTGTTTATCTCTCACCTGTCCCACGCTTCTGTTGAGTGTGTGTCATCACTCAGCTGCCATGAGGCCTGGGCATTGCGTCGTGGTGGGGGAAGGACTGGGGTTGCTATGCACACGTGTTATGTGTGCCAGGGTGTGACAGTCACCACAGGTGGGGTGCAAAGATGCTGCAAGATGGGGCCTCACAGGCTCCCCAAGAGAAGGCTGAGGGAGGACTTTGGTCGTGAATGCTTCTGATCAGCCACAAGACATTCTTTGCAGCACTAAAAATTCAGTGTGAAAACAGATATTTTAAAAATATTTGATTATGACAGAAATAATATAGAGAAAGGCAATAATTATGTCATGAAACATTTTATCCCATTGACATAGTTGGGTTATCGTCCACATTATCTGTGGGTATATTCAGGAAAATAGAGTGGAAATTTATTCTCTTGGAATAGATATTTTTCTAGTAATTCAAATTAAATTTTTGGTCCATTGTTGTTCTTCTCCATGTAAGCAGACCTTACCTATTTTCTTATTTTGTAGTTTAATTTTCATAATCTTTGCTTTCAAAATAATGAGGAATATTTTTTTCATACGTGAGATAAAGAACTAGAGCCCTTGGTGCCACATTTTTAAAATTCTCCTTTGGGAGAAAATCATCAGTATTTTAAATAATTGTTTAGCTAAAATATTTTATGAAGAAAAATTCATTTACAGTTTCTGAGGGAGGATGCCAAATAAAGTATTTTTAAATGTTTCAGTGGACATTATCGCACAGCAGTTTCCGGTTCACAGCAAACAGTAGGACATACAGAGCGCCCCCGTGCGAGTCCCTACGCCCACAGTTCCACACTGTCCCCAGCCACACCGGGCACCAACACTGGTTACACACGAAGAGTGCACACGTCCGTGTCACCAAGTCTGCGTGACACTGGGTCCCTCGTGACGTGTGATACAGCGATGTGGTTTGTCACGGATTCTACCACACCCTCGGTGATGCCATGCAGAACGGTTCCCCGCCCTAAAGTCCCTGTGGCCCGCTCGCTCGCTCGCCCGCCCGGCCCTGTGCGTGGGCTCCTCGGCTGGCTGCTTCCAGAACGACCTGTGGTGGAGTCGCCCCGCGTGGGGTTCACAGATGGGCTCCTCTCTCTGAAGCAGCTTCTCCGCGTCTTTTCACGGCTTGAAAGCTCATTTGTCTTTGGCACTGAACAGCGTGTCATCGAGTTGGTGTTCAGGGCCTAACTGCTCGTCCCCCGAAAGAGCTCGGGGGCTTCCATCTGTCGGCCCTGGGGAGCAACACCGCTGTGGACGCGCGCGTGAGGCGCGTGGCCGCGCACGTCGT